TTGTGTTAGAGTAATGTCATAAGCCGCCGCCGTCAATACCGTCGGTAGCTCGTAGCCGCTGCCTTCGGCCGCCACCGCAGCCGCCGCTCATCGCTACTTATCGCTTGTCATCGGGCGACCACTGTCTACTTTACTAGATTTATTTCAGATTATTTTTCAGTTCAAACCAAGCAATAAAATAAAGGATTCATTATGCAATTTTGAACTTTGGCAGAACAATTAAGAGGAAAATTTGTCATATATTTTTATTTGTGAACCATTTTTACAGTCCATTTAATCAAATATTGATATTTGGAGTATAAAATATAGATTTTTTTTGGACTATATATGATTTATTTTTTTTATAAAAATAAAAAAAATAAAAAAAATCCAAGTGGATGATGCCGGCCATAAGGCATGTTTTGCGGCCATAAATTAAAGTGACGATTTAAAATTATTTATTTATATGTCCTGTTCTGCATATCTGAATGGTAGATTTGTAAAATCTAAGTTCTGCAGGGGTGAAAATTAAACTGTAAATAATGTATTGGATTATTTACCTACATAGCACACAATTTTTTGTTATTTACATTTCTAACAACCAAAATTTGATATTTACACTTAACCTATGCATGAAAAGATGTATTTTTTTCCTTTTTTTATAAGAAAGTGATGATTGTATTTTTAATATGATCAAAACTATTTTCCTAGTAGACTTGAAAAAATCATAGAGCTCAGATAATTGATGTTGGGGACCATCATCAACGACTATTATCACTCAACGGTAGTCTCCCAACTATTAGCATCAAACCGTCATCTCTTTAGTACTTCTCCAACCACTGTTGTTTTCTGCCAATTGATGTCTAGGATCGAATACATTTGACTGCGTTGCTGATCTTTTTACCAACATCGACATTAATAAGCTTTTATTATTTCTTAAGCATTTTCATTACTTTGATGGAACAGTCTAGACATTATAATCACATCTCCGATTAGAGAGGAGAGTAGGATGAGCTTCTATTGTGTTCCCTGAGCAATGAATTATTTCAACTAGGTCAGGCTTAATAGTTTTCTCTTCTTACATTTTCTATATGAAAAACCCATTTATCTTTTAAAAGCATCTAATATCTATTTATTTGGAGTTTTGCACATTATTGAAATGATGTGTTTATGTTGTATTAGCATGCAACAACTTGACATTATTTGCGATGAACACTCTTTGAATGGAAAAAACTATTGCATCAGGAGTCCTGATGCGGTTTTGTATCAGGACTCCAGTCAGGACATAACACATGTACAGGTAGACCCATCTTAGTAAAAAAATAAATTAAATTAATACATAGGTGAGCCTACCTGTACACGTGATAGGTCTTGATTGGAGTCTTGATGCAAAACGGCATCAGGATTCCTGATGCAATAATTTTTCCTTAGAATGAGGCACACGCTTAGCTATGGACTTAAAAAGATATTCAAGTCAATGTCTTGGATAAGTTCATAACGAGGTCATTGTATCAACTTTTGATGTATTAGTTCAACATAATGCAAGTTAATATTGAGGGCAACTTTGAATATAACTTCAAAAAGATATTTACATTTAACGATTAGATAACTTCCCTCTGTCATTCGATGACATCTTAATTATGAGGGAACCAACACCAACACTCTATATCAACAAGGTTGTATACAATGCCATCAATATCGTTGATGTTTATTATCATCAAAGGTTTAAAACTCTCATAGACACCTTAGTCACTACTAACCATTGCCAACAAATCCAACGCATCGCCAACACCAATAATGATGATGCCCATCAACACCAGCATGACCATCATTGATTATTATGAAAATTGTCAGTGTATATTGTCGATAATATAGACTCGCATTATCACTCTTAAGGCATGCACAAAGTATCAACATCAACACATATGCATATATTCTAAAAAAGACATCACCCATTGTCACCAATAATATCAAAACTCATCATTGCCCACAAGTTGATGAACCAATCAACACTAATGTTGATGGCCACCAATGCCAATAAGGCTATGTCACTTACCATTGATCAATATCAGCCCCCAACATTAGCAATACAATTGACAAATGACATTGACACTTAATATGATGCGCATTGCCTCTAACAATGTTGACATACATCTTTAATACAAGTCATCACCCATTTATAATTTTTGACTTATATTAGTATAATTATTTTTATTGTTTCTCTCTCTATTGTTGCTCTTTTCTCTCTCTACAGTTGTTCTTTTCTCTCTCTACAAAGTTGACATAGATTGCGTGTGCAGTCAACGTTGACCATATCGAATTGTCTGCTTTTTAAGCTAAGCTAAATTAAAATTAGTCAACGTTGACTTAGGAAAAAAAAAACATTTACTAGCATAAAATGTATGGGTTATAAATTTAGTTATGGAGATGGGATTAAATTTGAATTGAAAAATGAATCAATTTAAATGTGGCCAAAGTAAAATTTAAGGATAATTTACATGCAAAACATTTAAAATTTCTTTATTTACATATCCACATATAAATTTTATCTACTTTCCCAAAGAGAAGAATATAGCTCAATTGGCACCATATGGTTCATTCGCCTTGACACGCATTGATGAAACACTCGGTCGCTTTCATGTCCTTAGAGATGATAGGTTTCATTTTGTACGTCCCTAATAGGCCTATCGCCACCAAATGCCGCCAATCACTCGCGATCGCGAATCATATTTCAATGCATAAACCCTAGAAAACAAACGAGAATAAATATTTTAAAATTAAAATATTTACATAATTTTAATAACATATAAAAAATATCATTATTTTAACTTTTAAAAAGCAAAATACATCCTTTTATTCATAGGTGGAGTGACATAACACGTAAAAATTAAAGGTATAGGTCTTAAATATGTTAATAAATTAGAATTGAGAGGTATAAATGTAAAATTGTGGTATGCATGTAAACTCCCCATTAATAAAATGGATTTACCTCCAAACAAACAACTCCATTCTTTTAAAATGCATTCATTCAAATTAACTTATATTTTTAAAACAAATAGAGTTTTCACTTGACCATACTAAATGTAATATGGCCATCTTAAAAACGAAATACATATTTTCATGCATAAATTTATATCACAGAAGTGTTATAAATCTAAATACAAACTTCAAGGGGGTTAGATATGCAAATACATAAGAATTGTGTGGTATGTATGAAATTGAAAACCTCATAATCAATCCATATTAACTGCAAGAAGGGTTGGTGGAACGTTTAGTATTTACAATAACATGAATAGATTTGGTCCACAGTCTCCCACCATTGTCTTCTACCTCCATTAATAAAAAAAAAATTAGCCTGGTTTCTATCAATTCTTTCCTCCTGAAGCAAAATTTACTTATCTCCTCCTCCTCCACCAAACATCCCACCCATCATATCTTTGGATCCCATCTGCTTCATGAGGCTCTGCAAACCCCCCATCCCTCCAATCTGCTTCAGCATCTGAGGAGGCAGCACTTTGCTCATGTGCTGAACATTCATGTTGCGCGACAAGGCGCTCATCTCCCCCTTCTTAGGGATCTTCAGACCTTTCATCTGACTCCACACCTTCGCGAGCCGCTTGTACTCTTCCAACATCTCAACGACTTCCCTGATGGTTCGGCCGGAACCTCGCGCTATCCTCAGGGCTCTCGAATCATTGAAGATCTTCGGGTTCGTGCTGTCCAGCTCTGCATTTAATTAATCAATACAGTCATACAAGACATTGGTTTTCGTTTGTCGTATGTGACAAGTAGGGGGATTTGCATTCATACCATACAAATTTTATGCATTTATATGCATGTGACACCATTACATTGATATTTTCTTACATAAGATTTTGGTGTCTTAATAGTCCTCTGATCATTTACATGGGATCATTTCAATTCCAAAGTCTAGAAAAGTGCCAAATTCATCCGGATAATCTTTAACTGTGGGGTAAAGTGCTCCATGGGAACTATTTCAGTCAATATTAAAAGAGTTTTGGGGACTAAATTAGCATTTTTAAAGAATCTGGGATTAAATGATCCTCTGCAAAGTAATGGTACTATTTTAACACTATTCTCTATAAGAAAAGGTATATATGGTATGCCTGTAAATCCCTCATAATCAGCTATGCTTCAACCGGCCAAAAAGCGAAGAAAAAGAAAAAACATCAGTACCTGCATTTGTCATGGAATCCATCATTGTCATGTACCGTTTGATCTTGGCCTGACTTTCTTTCTCATGACCCTTCGGCATAACCTCTGCACTAAATCCAGGCAGCATGGAGAACACCTGCAAGCCAGAAAAAAAAAAAGGGGTGTAGGTGAAGTCTAAATGAAGCCAGGCTCTACAAAATCAAAAGAGAGAAGTGTCAAAATTGTCTCATAGCTCTTTGTATTGGGTTATTTCCGTTTCAGAATATATAAAAGTGTCAATTTAGTCCCAAAACTCTTTTAGTATGAGATGAATTAGTTCCCACGGAGAACTATTTTAGCCCCTACTAAAAGTGTTTGGGTCTAACAATAATTTTATAAAGTCTGAGATTAAAATGACCATAGTCAGAGAACTATTTTGACATTTTACTCGAAATCCAAATTAAAAATTAAAAAAGAAAAAAAAAATTGCAGCAGACAAACCTGTCCAATTGGGCCCATTTTAAGTATGTTCTGGAATTGCTCATACATGAGTCGGAGGGTAAAACTTCCTTCAGAGAGCTTTTGAAGAAGCTCTGGCTGTTGATCAGTTGGCACAACTTCCTGAATTTTATCCATGAAGCCAGACCAATCACCCATACCTAATGTTTGCAACAAAAAGATTATATTAACATGTAATTAACGAATTAAGCATAAACAGTGGGGTCATATAATTTACCTAAAAGACGGCTAACAAATGGTTTAACATCAAAAATTTCAAATTCATCCATATGCTCTCCAGTTCCTATGAAAATGACGGGGCTTTTTGTTGCTGCAACACTGCACAAAGACCAGAAAGAGTATTGGGCTTTGAATAAGAGAACAATGACCTTAAATGACAATTACACCACAGATCAGAAGATAAAGTAAGCGCCAACACACAAACATAAAATTTGACGAGCAAAAAAATCAAGGAAAAAATGGGGCATTTACGTACATAGCACACAATTCTTATGTCTATACATATCTCACACCTAAACTTTCATATTTACATACATAACACTAAAATCTTTAATATCACCTTTAATATCACCACTAAAATCTTTAATATCACCTCAAAAATAATACTATTATCACTTTCCTGTAGTGACATACAGCTTATCATGCATAGATTTAAAACACCAAAGTGCTATATATATATATATATACACATGTAAACATAAATTGAAGTTTGAGTGTGAGACATGTAAATACAAAATAATTGTGTTGAATGTCTGTAAATTTCCCAAAATAAATAAATAAAATAGTGAGAGCACTTACGCACTAAGAGCACCACCTCCTTTCGCATGACCATCCATTTTAGTCACAATCACAGCTCCGACTGGCACACTTTGTTTAAATGCTTGTGCCTGAGCGAATGCCATTTGACCAATACTACCATCCATGACAAATATCACCAGATCAGGTTTCTGTAACAGCAAGCAGAACCAAACTAATACATATATCAAAGATTAACATAAAGATGAAGGGTCATTTACATACATACCACTCAATTCCTACGAACTTGCAATATCTAATACTTAAAATTTTGATCTTTACATTTATATAACCCAGATCTTTAATATCACACCAGAAATACCGCCATTTTAACTTCAAAAAGTGGCATACAGCTTTTCGTGTGGCGTATATATGTAAAATTTAGGTGTTAGATATGTAAACACAAAGGAAGGAATAGAGTGGTATGTATGTAAATCTTCAAAAAATGAAATCATTTACAAGCTACATACTGTTGCTTCCGACACTTGCCGCATTTCTTCAAAGAGGGCAGCCTCCTGCATGTGTCGTCCGCTCGTATCAACTATAATTAAATCATTGCCTTCCTTCTTAAACCTCTCAACACCCTCTGCAGCTATTTTAACAGGATCTGATTCCATATAGCTGAAGAAACAAGCAATTCATCACGAAAAGAAAATGGACCTAGAATGGAAGTATAACTTAATGAGAATCAGTGTTATTTACTTGAAATAAAAAAAAGAATTTGGAACAAACTCATCAACAAATAAAAGATACAAACACGAATAGTAAGGTAGATTTACAAAAAGATTCATATAATGAAAATTAGTTTTCCAACTGCTAGAATAGGAAGGAAGTTTTACAGCTCAAGGAGAAAAGATACATTTATCGCCCAATTGAAGAAGTAATAGTTGTATTGGGTTTACAACAATGTCCACCTTATGGATTTTATCTCAATATATTCAAGAGTCAAATTCCTTTGCTGCTATCAGTAGAGTCTACAAGTCAGGATACCCTTTTATGAAAGAGGAGATATAGCCCTAACACAGAAAGGGAAAAAGAAAAAAGATCTTAGTTTCAACAACATCCTCTAGACCAGGAAGCTAGTCGGTAGAAACACTGTCGAGGGGTAGATTTGATACCTATTGATACTATCAAAATTATATCCCATAAATCTTTATAAGCCTCATGGAGTAAGGGCTTCAAATCCAATATACTAGAAGACTTAAGGAAGCAATATAGACAAACCTAATTGTTGTCCTTACCAGGCATTTTGGAGCACATAGTTGAGCATTTTTTCATGTCCAAATGTCCAAAAACTCGTTGGAAATCAAGCCTCTTCCGGGGAAATTAAACTTCCAAGAATTTTCTCATGAAGCCTAAATTGGCTAAAATTCCAATAAGCCCGCCTAGAGTAGTCTACCTAAGCAACAGCTCAAACTCAATCTTTTGATCCCGATAGTTCATCTCAATCTAGCAAATAATCCATCAGTGTTGGTCAGATGTCAAATTAATAGTTTTCTGGTGAAGAGTTGATGGTGATTCAAAAGTGTTTTAATCGTCTATGTAATTTGATTTCTAAGGTGCAAAATTATTCTCTTTCAACATGTGAGTCCCTAAAGCACAAGAGTAGGGCATGATTCTATTTGGTATCCTTTGCAGCAATAGAAAGATTGATCAGATAAAGAAGAACAATTGAAATCTTCCACATTACTTTAAAAAATTAAAAGTGAGAACATGCCTGTAAGTACCAATTGGCAAATCTGTTACAGATTTTCCAGTTTAGGTAGCTCCCTGTGCATTTAACTTATAGCCTAAGTGAGTAAAACCTAATTTTTTTTCAGGCTAAACACTTACAGCTAAAATTAATTTTCTACTTCTTATGAAGAGTTGATGGTGATTCCAAAGTGTTTTAATCGTCTATGTAATTTGATTTCTATGGTGCAAAATTATTCTCTTTCAATATGTGAGTCCCTAAAGCACAAGAGTAGGGCATGATTCTATTTGGTATCCTTTGCAGCAATAGAAAGATTGATCAGATAAAGAAGAACAATTGAAATCTTCCACATAACTTAAAAAAATTAAAAGTGAGAACATGCCTGTAAGCACCAATTGGCAAATCTTTTAGAGATTTTCCAGTTTAGCTAGCTCCCTGTGCATTTAGCTTATAGCCTAAGTGAGTAAAACCTAAATTTTTTCAGGTTAAACACTTACAGCTAAAATTAATTTTCTACTTCTTCTTGCAAGTAAACTTAACTAAGAGCCCTTAAATCTAACTCCATCCTTTAATTTTTCACAACTTAAATCCTTGTTGGTCGAGTGTAGTCTATATAAATAAAAACCTATATTTTAAAAAAATTAACACTTTTAATTCTCTCCTTCCAAGTCAAGCTTGGCTCCAAAACATTGAACTTATTACAATTCATTCAATCCTAGTGCAGCCACCAGGTAAGCTTATTTTGGGCTAACCGAGTTTAAATTTGCCCTAGTCTAACCCTTTCTATTAAGTTTAGTTTTACATTTCTCTTGTTGATAATTTAGTTGCCCTCAGAAGCTAATTCATCTTTGGCTGATTAAGATTTGAACTTGGCTATCAAAACATAAAACCACAACTTTTTTGTTCATTTGATATTTATATATATAATAGATTTCCAAAATAAAAGTTACCCATTTTCTTAGTTTCAAATCTGGTCAAAAGAATTATGATTTCAAGGGTTGAAGCTCCACAATTTTTATATGAAGAGGCTTTCTTCAAAAACACAAATTAAGATTGAAGCTTCTTTGCGTCTCAAATCATCTACACGTTTTTCAGTATAACATCATTTGTGACTAGGGTCTAGATGAGCAAAACCCAAAGTGTTGCCTTTAATAACTCAAGGCTTTAAATGAAGTTATCCATCTCTATTGCTCATATTTTGACCCATCAAATTTGGTCAAGATTATTAAATCCAAAACATCTTTTTGGGTCCAAATTACCCCATCCTCTACAAAATATCAAGTTTCTCCATGACTATCACGAGCAAACTAACTTTTCTCCATGACTTTCACAATCCAAATTACCCCATCCTCTAAATAAATGTCGCTATGCTTATTCCCTCAAAGAAAATTGTTTTTTTTAGAGAGAAAATGTAATTAAACTATATGAGAATAGTCATCTCTGGTCTATCACAATCCAGATATAAGAAGGTATTTGTATGTTTTTTGACACTCTCAGTATACCTAAAAGATAGACAATTTACTCACGACATGAAAAAAGTTATCTTTACTTTTTTTTCACAACCCACATGTAAGAAGCAAATATGATGTATTATAACCCATTCATGAAAACCACCTCCTATAACTTGACACTCATTTCATATGGAGATGCTATTCAAGCCCTCTTTCACAAGCTATATGAGAAAAATCAATATGTCAAAAAATTATTGTTGTATCACAATCCATATGGGAGAAGACATTCCTTATTCTCTTTCAATTTTCTATTAAACAAAATAGCGAAACAACATGCTTTGACTTTTTCTCAAGCCATATGATACATCACATCTTCAAAATATCCCAATCCATATGTGATAACTTGTATCTACACTCTTTAGTTATTCCCTCAAATCATTTGGAAAATGTCATTTTTTGACCTCTCATATCATATGAAAATTTATCTCTGATAACTTTACAATCCATATCTAAAAAGTTGATTTTGAGAAACTATCATATTATATTATTGGCATTCTCTCAAGCCTTGTGGCAGAAGTCATTTATGATCTTTAAACAAATTATTTGTGAGAAGTCAGCTTAGTGCATCACAAATCATATACAAGAAGCCTATGTTTGATATTCCCTCAAATCATTTGACATGTCATTTTTTGACCTCTTTCTCAAATCATATGAAAATTCATCTCCGATAACTTTACAATCCATATCTAAAAAGTTGATTTTGAGAAAATACCATATTATCTTATTGACATTCTCTCGAGTCTATGTGGCAGAAGTCATTTATGATCTTTTCACAATTTATTTGTAAAAGTTTGCTTAGCGCATAGAGCCTATCTTTTGTAACTCTGAAAAAAACTTGAACTCTAAATATATATAGCATTCTCTCGAGTCTATGCGGCAGAAGTCATTTATGATTTTTTCACAATTTATTTGTAAAAGTTAGCTTAGCGCATAGAGCCTATCTTTTGTTAACTCTGAAAAAAACTTGAACTCTAAATATATATATATAAAAAAAAAATAAAAAAAACCAAGAACTATAAGCATTCTCTATTAGTATCCTAGCAAACCATATGGAAGATATCATTTATAACCCCTCTATAATAAATTTATAAAACCCTATCACTTTCAGTCAAAGTAGACTTAAAAAATTTTAGATTATTCAAATATCCTCTTAATCTATTTTGAGAGAGATCATGCTTGACAATGCCTTAGTACAAATTGCACTCCTAATATTCTAAAATTTCTCTGAGTTACCTCCTCAGCAAGCCACTGCTTTGGCTTCTCCCGAAGTAGACCTAAATCTTCAGCAATTAGTAAATAAAAATAATTGTGGCAAACTTTATCAGTAGAGCACACATATGGAAATTCATTTGTTGACCTTATATCTGACTAAAAAATGCTAACATTAGGCCAATAACCATTACATAGCCACCTTAAAATATTGTTTAACAATGCCCTAAGGGAAGACCAACCAAACTCAAATTTTGGTTAATTCTTTATATTAATTATGAAAAATCTCAAAGGATACATAGACTCAGTCTGCTTTCTAAAGTACTAATCATATTGGTTCCATCCATCAAGACATCCTTCTAGTTTCCCTATTATGAAATTCACGTATACTTCAACACTTACAATTCCTCTATTGTGAAATTTCTATTGTTCAATTCATTTTTATTTGATTCCATATAATTTGTCTCACAACTATTAAGCAACCTCGGTTATTTGATTGCTGCTGTTATGGAAGCCTTCTTGTTCATTAGGTTTAGATTGTTGCTTCCTCTTTTGACTTCTTTAATTGTAAATTGAGAGAGACTTTATGATTATAAATATGAAAATCAAAGCCATCTGAAAATATCTATTTGATTTCAATTTCAATAAAATACTTTTTTTCTTCATAAACAATTCATTCTAGCCTTCTCCTAGTGCAATTAAAATTCAAAGTTTCCTACAGAAAATTCTCCTTGCATAGAAGTGAGGCTAAGACTTAAAGTTTAGTAATTTCATAAATATTATATTTTTATTATCTAATTTCTAGTAAGCAGTTTGATCATGTAATTAAATTTTATAAAATTTACTACAACTAAATTTTCAACTATAGCATAATTTTTAAATGAACAGAAATATTTAAATGCTTCCTCTATGGGATGTTTTTAATAGATGACTTCAATTATCCTCGACATCAAATTCACCACATTTTTTTTTTCATCAAAAGGAGTGTTGTTGTCCAAATTAAGATCTTGATTACCATGGAAAAAAAGTGCGTAAAAAGTGAGCATCACATTGCACATTTGCATTAGGAAGCTCTAGCGCGTAAAGCATCCTACATCAATGCATAAAAACAAATCTTAAGAGGCCTCCACTACCATTCTTAGCATTGAAACATCACTGGTCAAACGTAACTATTTTTTGCAAATTTGGGATGCCAGAGTAAAAGCTTCGTAGCCTCTTTATACATAATTGTACTTAAATTACTAAAGATGATTAATTTAAGCAACAAAATTGCTTATGCTAACTGAAACATAGATTTCCATAAATCCCTCACCTAAACCACAAGGACTCCTAGTTAGGGGCTATAGTTGAAGTGGGCCTGGTTCAAAAGAAACTACTTTATCAGTTATAAGTTATAATGATACACCTCCAAGAACTATAGGGAACTTCATACACTAGGTGTGCATGACAAGAATCTGTATGGTAAAAGATTGCATACCATAGACAGTATGAGCATCACAATATTCTAACTTCGTAGTTCTTAAAAAGTTTTAAGTCTAATAAAAAGGAAAATCATATGCAGTCAACCTTTTCCTCGGGTGGGTCTCCAACTTCTATAGTCAAAAAATGTACACATGAAAGCAGTTATAACTGAAATGAAGACTGATGCAAGATAACAAGTGAAATGCATATTTTGTCAAGAACATAAGAGATAAAATCTTCCACAAGCAGGATTTAGAAGTATAGGAATAAAAAGCATTCTAGCAAACATGTTTATCAGCACATGAGCAAGAGCATGCGCTTTTCCTGTAACGTGCATCTTTTACAAGATCTTTTTCTACAAATAGATACCCCAAAAATTAATTATAAAGTTCAATTACATCAAGCTAAACTCATAGCTCAAAATACATGATACATTTAGCATATATTCTTCCCCATTCCTATTAAAGTCAGGCCCATATGAAGATTTTTAAACAAAATCAGGAAAACGAAGGGGAAGGTAATCTATGCGTGAAGAACAACTATTATTCATCCAGTAATTTAAAGTCTCAAACCACAAAACAATTCTGTAAGAACAAACCTATTGAATGTATTCTTAATGCAGAACAAGTAGGGTAATTTTGTGCAAAAAATGAAAATTGTTCACCATCACGAAAACATGCAGAAAATTTATTCATCGCCAACATCATCTATGTTATGAAAACATATCATAATCATCAAAAGTGAAAAGAATGCATTACTTTTATTTTAATTGAAGGAGTCATAATTTTAAGAATCATAAAAGTAACTATATGGCTCCACAATCCTTCTAAATGGGCTAGGCCGATTTGTACAAGTATGATAACATGCATAAGGCGTCCTCTCTATCTCCACCATCCATAAAGGTTCCAATGCAAGAAAGAAAAGTATGAAAAGATGATCTTTGAAGCTCAAGATCCAACCATTATTTATTTCCTAACAATTTATTGAGGGAATCGAGCAATCAACCACTTAAAGAATGAACTCAAGAGTCCATCGATCAATGAAATAATCATCCTTTGCAAGGAATTTGTCTTTTTCTATTTCATAGAATTATAATGCTTTAAATATATAATAACTTTATAGTAGAAATATAAATGAAAACTCTTGGTTGAAACCACATAAGGTGTTGCATATATGAAATAAAAGCTAAAGCTTAGTGGCTTACTCCTATTAGGGTAATTTGATGAGTTCCCTAACAATATTATATTTTGTTATTGTTCGTAGTATTAATATCCTTATCACATTATCTTGTATCATAATTTATTGTTCCTGTCATGGATAGCCTTTCATCTCAATCAATTCCTCTCTCCCATTGGACTAATGTTTTAAAGTATAATCACAAAGGAAGAAACCACAAAGAAGGGATGCCAAAGGTGGATTGTTGACTAGTGTGGTTATATCACCCACCTATTAGAAAGCCAAAAAGAAATGAGTTGTGCCTAAGCTAAACTTGAATACGGAACTCTACTTTATTTCTTTATGGAGAAGTAAAATTAAGCCCATGAGCTTATAATCCTAACTCTGAAAAAAATTCTAATTATTCTACTCAAGATGTTGAAGCTCACTGCTCTAAATCAAACAAGTTTGAAATGTACACCTAAATGTTTGTTCATTAGTCATATCAAATATATACTTATCATTGTCATCATCATAATAACGAGATGTATCCGAACTGTTTGGATCAAATCAGATATGTAACTATTCAAAAAATTAATTGCTGAAGAGTTTAATGATAGATTATCATGGCATTGTATGGTTTTCGTATCATTGCCAAAATTTAGGGGTAGGTATCATTTTTATCTTCACTATCATCAAGTTCTATGAAAGTACATTTAAAACTCCTTTCAAAAATTTCTTTTTGTTTATTTTTCCAGAATAAATAAATCTTCATAAGAGAGGTGGATTATTCAACACATAAAATTTCAAGTAAATATAATTATGTTTTCTCAATCATAAATTTTGACTATACAATTGAAAAGCATATTAGCGTCAGTAAAAAAACTCTCATTAATTTTCACATCATACTATAGCCATAATATTATATTAGATCTCAACCGGGACATCATTACCACAATTACATAATCTAATCTTTTAAACTGGCATGCTCGTCTTTCTTCAACCATGAATGGATAAGAATGAAATTAAATCGTGTAAAATTATAGTTGCAATTGATTTTAGGACCAAATGGTCGTTGGCTAAGATATCAATGCCCAAAAATGAGAAAATTCTTGAAAGGCAAAGACCTGCATACTTCTAAGATAATCAAACAAACCAATTAAAAAAAGAGTTAGAAATCCACTCATTAGATGAATGGATAGAATTAATTGTTTTGGGTTATATATATATATATGTGAAGTCAGTTTTGCGGACTGTTGGAAGGCAGTTTTGGCGTAAGTCCCCTCTGCCCCAGGTTCGAATCCTAGCTGGGTTGAATTAAAACATATGGGGGATCAGTATTTAGGGGACAGGATGATACGTTAGGCCTAAATGTCGATTCCTTTTAGTAAGAATATATATATATATATATATTGATTTGTGAAGTATTAGTTTAATTGCTTAGGCCAAATTTAGTAAAGAGCAAATTAAAAATAATAATTCATAAAGTTGACCACAAATGACTGGTGTAAGGGTAATGAAAATGATAATTATTAAACAAAAAAAAATTAACAAGATTGCTCACAATTAAAACATGCAACATGTAAATAAAAATAAATAGTTACTATTAGTCCCAAAATGATTTGTTCGCAAACAAAATCGGTATCTGATACATAATTTATTGAATACACAGTCAAAGAACTATTTGATGGCTAAACATAGGCCTACCGGCTTCTGATACATAATTTATTGAATACATAGTCAAAGAACTATTTGATGGCTAAACATAGGCCTAACGATGGAAAGGCTTGGATTTGACAATTAAAAAATAGTCTTTGGTCAGACTTGAGCCTAATATGATTAGATCCATACAAGAAAAATGTCGAGTAGTTAGCAAGTTCCATTCCATTGATGAAGAGATGGGTTGTGGAAAATGGAGACTTTTCAAAAATGTTAAAAAAATTTTACATACATGGCACTCAAACATTGTTATTTACAAATCAAATGCACCCCACTCAAATAGCAAAATTCACAATAAAACCTCAACCCATATTTTCATTTATATCAAATACTCAATGGTTTAATCAAGGCACAAGTAAATGTGTTGATTCGGTAGTTCAAAAAATCACATAGGTGATAGTTTTGCAAAAAATAATGTTATAAACGTTGTGTACATAATTATCCCTAAATTTTAAAAGTAATTGAATTATTAAAAAAAAATTAATTGTCTAATTGCAAGTTGTTAGTCGTAATATTTTAGTTTGTAAGAGCCTTGAAAGTTGTTGCTAAGATGTTGGATTCGATTATTGCCTACACAATAGTAAACTCCTAACTTGCGGAATTTCAGTTTAGTTCAAAAAAATAACATTGTATATCTTTCCTCAAACCCATAAATAAGTGTAAGTCTTACTATTGTTCTCAAGTAGAAAGAATGTTTTTTCCACCATAAGGATTGTGCTAAAAGGTCAACTAAATCATCTTCAATGAGCTTATCACACTAAGCAACACTAGAAAAATATCAAAACTAGCAACAAAAATAAAAGTATTGACTCGACAAAGCCCGGCCAATGCAGGACAAATGAGCAAATCAAGGGGTTATTGTAGGTGTGGCTCTTGGTGTGCCCACTCAGAGTGGAAATCCTATCTTCCTCATAAATATTTTCAATAAATCTATGGAAGATAGGAAATTTACTTCGTCAAATGAAAGTAGTCTTACGATTTGATTCAACATAATTTGATCATAAAATTCAATATAGTATTCTTCCACACGCACCCAAAAATACTAATATTGTCCTCACCAACAAAATCTTTGGCTCACTAGCTCTACATCTTCAGAGAAATATCATGCAATTATACTCGTTTGTAAAATAAAAAGTTTGGATAATTCTAACATTTCAATTCTAAACCATCCTTCCAATTTATGATATATACAAGTCAGTAAGTTAATCTGTAAATTTTCTATACTCCATAAGTTTGAAGTGTAAGTAAAAACGGAACTAAGAGCCCCAAAAATTAACTAATCAGAGAAGTTTGAGAAAATGTTAATTATACATGCAAGATAGAACAATATATCAAAAACTTGAGCCAAAAACAATAATTAAAGAGTTAATATAAAACAAACTTGGTAGATATGTAAACAATACCTTCCATAGAAAGGAATTTTAGCTTTGGTTGCATTTTGTTTCAACTGATCAAAAGCTCCAGCTCTAAAAGTATCCGCACAAACAAGAGCAGGTTTGAAACCCTTTTTTTGATGATAATATGCATATTTGGTGCATGTTGTGGTTTTCCCAGAACCTGGATTATCACAGCAAGTAAAGCACACAAGGAATTCAAATTGTTAAACAAATTCAGATCAAAGACAAATCTTGTGCAAACAAACACCTAAGGCATCATCATCATCATTAACCTTATCCCAACTAGTTGGGCTTTGCTTTATGAATCTATATTTTCATTTGTTCCCTTCAACACTGCCCGATGTATTAAACACACGCTTTGCAAAACAACTTGAACAAATTCTATACATGTAACCTTAGGTCTATCACATATGCTTCATGATTCTCTAATAATAATTACATCCCCTCTTCTAATGGAAAAATTATTTCATAGTGCTTCTGCATACGGTATCCGATCTCCACCGTTCATCACAACAAGTAATAATTATATCCCCTCTTCTAATGGAAAAATTATTTCATACGGACACCATATGCAAAAATGCATATGGTACTTCTGCATACGGTGTCCGATCTCCACCGTTCATCACAGCAAAGGTGTATAACAATGGGCCCTATTTTTATTTTTATTTTTAATTTAAAAAAAAATTTTTTAAAATTTAAAAAAAAAATTCATGAACGGTATAGATTGGACACCGTATGCATTTTTCCTTCTAATGGGCTCATTTTTTATGCCACTGTATATATATATTCAAACCACCTAAATCTATTTTACTCTATGGTCAACAGATAAATGTTTCTAAAATACATAATCATTCCTTAATTTAGCGGTCTTAGTTTGATCACACATTCATCTTAATATTACTAAGTTATGCCATGTTGATGTTAGATGTAAACGATTTATTTAGCTCCAAATACTTTGACCAATGAAATTTAAGTCTGTCACTTCTCTTTCCTAGTCCTCTAACGCTAAATTCATCTACTCATAATGGGCTCATTTTATACACTACAATAAGCATTTCCAAATCACTTGAATTTTTTTTCTAATCATTTTATTTTCAATAGATATCACTCCAACTGTTCTTAAAATATATAAGTGTTCATTAATTTATTCTTCTCAGTTTTGCGACACTCATCTTAACATTACTAACTTATATCATGCTCAACTTAGATATCAATAGATTTTTTATATCCCAAAACTTGGTTCTATACAACATCACCAACCAAACTTCTATTTTATAAAATTTATCTTTGATTCTCTAAAATATTCTCTTTATGCAAAATTCTCCTAAAAAACTTCTCCATTTAAACAATTAAGCAGCTATAGAAGTTATATCATCATAAATGTGTGTGTGTGTGTATACAATGAATCCAATGTACTTAAACCTATCAAACCTAAGTATCACACTATTTTAGCTTCTAGTAATTTTAATTAATGTGAATTAATATCAAAATTACTAAAATTGTATATCATACTCAATCTTTATTCTAATAATTCTAAGTACTTCAAGATTTAAATTTTTTATTCATCATTATAATTTTTCCCTTATTAAATTAGATGCCTCACCAATTTAAACTATATCATCTACAAAAAAGTACCAAACCACCTCATTTTGAATAAAAGTTGTAAACATCACCATACACAATGGAAAAAAGATAAGGCTCAAATGTTGATCAATGATGTAAAACTACCATCATTAGAAGCGCTTGGCTCATTCCACAACAACTAATATAACTCAAAACTCCATTATATATATTTAACAACATCAAAATATCTTAAGATATCTTTTCCCTTAATGTGCATCGGACTAATTCTCATAGTGCCTTATGAAAAATCTTTTTTGTTGCCGATTATTTTTCATTAATTGCTTTTAACACAAAATTGGATTGACAAAATAGTAGGATGAAAAATCTTTTTTGTTGCCCATTATTTTTCATTAATTGCTTTTAACACAAAATTGGTTTCAAAATAGAACTAACTAGCATAAAACAAAATTGATTCTCCATAATTAATGTTTTTTTCTATGCATATCTCTTGTTACTCTCTCTAATAGCTTTATTGTATTGTATAACTCATAAGTATATAACTCCAATATTATCACCATAATTAAAGATATCCCATATTATTAAATATTAATACGAAAATATTTCTCCTCCAATCATTCAAAATTTTTGTACTCTTCAAAAATCCATTGAAAAGATTTATTAACCAAATCACTACAATATCTTGCATAATTCTCAAAATCTCAATACATATTTGTTCTCCTACAATTCTCTCATATGACTCATAAGGGTACTTCCTCAATATAACCACAATCTTGAAAATTTTCAATGTTCTTAAACATTACTACCAAAAATATTTCTTCTCCAATCATTTAACATCCCCTTAAACATAAAAATTCTAATGAAAAGATTTGTCAACCAAATCTCCATGATACCTCACATCTCCCGAAAAATAATAAGCATCTCATCTACACTGCAAATCTTACCTTTATACATCTTTTTTTTTTAAAAGCTAGCTCCACTTCACATTTTAAAAATCATCAAATAATATATTACTTATATTGTTTATTATAATTCTTCAAAACAATATTTACCTTAATACTCTTATTTAATCATTTTCAAAATGACATTTCCGCCTTTGCATTATGTCATATATTTAACTAAAATCTTACTATATTCACTTCTGATGAAACTCTCAAGAACTCTTATACTTGTCTTAGTATATTCACTTCTTATGGATCAAACCTGATGAAACTCTCAAGAACTCTTATACTTGTCTTAACTATCCAATTATCTCTTTTTCTCCATTACAAGTGCCAAGCTTATCATCAAAATAATAAACAATTTTAGCATTTGATTTTCTCACTGCATTCTCTACAAAACTTCGAAATTTCTTATAATCATATGTAGTATCTAATTATTGTCACCATTAAAAAAAAAAATGCCTCACTTCACTATCAAGACTCCTTACCAAATATGATTTATTCACTCTCCTAAAACATCCATGGCAGTAACCCTAATGGAACTAGTCAATTTATCCCATATCAAGTTTGACTTAACCTAAAGCACCTAACCCTCTTATAAATTGCATTCTGCATGACTGCGGACAACACTTTGGACGCTTCATCCTCGTATTTCAACACTTTGTATAAATGACTTCCAGTTTCCAGAAACAACTTGAAAGAACCAAAAAAAATGCCATTATAGCAAAATGATCATCCAAAATGATGAACAGTGACTATCCAACTTACCTTGCAAACCCACAAACATCACTACGCATGTCTTTCCTTTCTTAGGTGTGAATGACGGCTTCCCTGGATCCATCATCTTGCAAAGCTCAGTAAATACAGCCTAAAGTGTGAAAAAAAAAAAAAAGGTTTTAGTTACATATCATTTTGGGATCTCGTAAAATGAAAAAAAAAATGATCTACAGAGATACCAGTTAATTCTTATGTATTTACATATCAAAAATCTAAATTTCAATTTTTTCACCACCTTATCTTATGCATGAAAAAGTGTATTTCACTTTTAAAAAGCTAAAATAATGGTATTATTTATGTGATATGAAAGATTTGGGTGTAATAAAAGTAAAAAATAAAGTTCAGGTGTTAGACATGTAAATACATAAGAATTGGGTGGTATATATGTAAATGACACAGAAAAATCTAGTAAACCCTACTAAAATGTGCGGTAAAACTAAGTACAAATAAGAAGGACCTGCATTTGACAGCGAGTAAAACGGAGTGAATAAAGAGCACAAACTGCTTTCTAAGCATTATTACAAACTTACAAAAGAATGATATGGTTAGATTGAAAACTGTAAAAAAATGAAATTTGACAAACTCAATATGAGGACCTCCTCTTACTCCACTCTCCATTCACAGTTACCACAGCTAGGATACGTTCTAAATCACCTGTATGCGATGTAATTTTATAAACAACAAGACTAACCCATTCGATTAATTGCTCGGATAAGATGAATCATCTACCTAGGAAGAATCAATGAATACCTACCTTATTAGTAAGATAGCTTTATAGCTCAACTTGAATAATCAATCATAGCCGCTCAATCTCTATGTTCAGCAATTTGATAGAAAGGAAGCACAAATGTATGGATGATGAAGTAATCTTTTTAGAAAACAATTACATTCAAAATAGTTGTTTAAGAGATTCGAATACATCATCCAATGATACAACAGAACTGCATTGCCCTTCAATAAAAAATGATGTTCGAGAAAAATAAATGCTTCAAAGTAGATGTTTGTCAGTGATTGTTCAATTTCTGACTGTAAGCTCACCCGCCAGGCATATATATGTCCCCTATTTCAACTAAAAAGAAAACTTCTGGATCGGATAATGCTTACCCTTTATAGCAAAAAGCCTATCTTCTGAATGAGGGAGAGTTTGATCGTTAGCTCCTTGAAAATGTTCAACTTATGTTTGATTAAGCTTAAGGCATGCAAACTTAGAAGCCTGAGCAAGTATCAGGTATCTCTACACCAGGCTCACTACAAATTTAAAAAAAAAAAGAACTTTTACAGTTGCACGTCACAAATGTTTAAAGAAAATTTACATACCTGACACACGATTCTTATGTATTTACATATCTCACACCCATACTTTCATATTTACATGCATAGCACTTTGGTGTTTTAAACCTATGCATAAAAAAGTGTATTTCACTTCTAAAAAGTGTCAATAGTGCTATCTTTGATGTGATATTAAAAATTTGAGTGTTATGTGTATAAATATGAAAGTTTAGGTGTGAGATCTGTAAAAACATAAGAATTGTGTGCTATGTATGTAAATGCCACAATGTTTAAACCATTCAGAGCCTCTCCTCAAAGATATATGGTGATACCATAAAATAAACAAAATGAATTATCTTCAGCAGCAAAGACCATGAAACTACCATCCAAAGTAATGAAAATGGATAATTAAATTAAAAGAATAATTGCAGATCTGAGGATTGATTTCTCTTCTAAATCTTATGGGTAATGAAAATAGTGTCTCAGAATTTACTACAAAGCATTGAATGAAATATTTGACAATCTTGATCATGTTGACTAGCAGAGAGAAACCAAAGATAGAGACGAAAAGCCATTCAACAAGCAAAGGTACTTCACGTATAAGTTGGGGCGACTAAAACAAGATTATATCGGGTAAAGTTGAAGCAATGCATTTGTCAAAGGTAATGAATATACATTATTTGTTACAAAATTTATTATTATTATTATTATGATCATATATGTATGAGAATACTATTTTTTGTAAGAGCAAAAGAAGAGGGATGCTATTAGGCATGGGCAAGGGACTTCACAAAGACTTTGCAAACATGGATAATGTATTTGTTCTTGAGGTAGGTAAGGACAAGACGATCAAAATAACACAACTCTGTTGACATGGATAAGCCAATGGAATAAAATGACGTGCCAATGAAAGAAATAAAGGATGTAATTGAATAATGCCTAAGTTGTTTAGTGTCATATGACCTAGCTGTAGTTGCGTCTTTAAGGTCAGATATCAACCAGTTAGAAGTTAGAACCAAATTTGCTTATGACCAACTTTGGAGAAGCTCAAATGCATAACTATTTTGTGTGTTATAATTCTAAAATTAACATTGGAAGTATGGTTACCTTTCACCTGTAGGGAGCTTAATGGCTTCACAATGTAGGTTTTTATTTATTTTAAATATGATTATGTGAGAAACATTATGTTTGTTTTTTCTATTTGCAAGATACCAATTAGAAGATATAGCTTGTTACAGTTATGAATTGTTTTGTTGGAGTAGAACTATAATGTTTTTCTCTTAATGTATTTATAATGGTTTAATTCATGATTTGTTGAAGGCAACAAGAATGCAATTGTTGTTGTTTCAAAGGTAGTTCTCATCTTGACTTTGACGTACCTAAACTCATTACAAATTCTGTGAAATGTTAAAAAAAATGAAGTTAAAATAAAAATATTGATTATAACGGGATAAAATTCTCAAAAATTTATTGGAATAAAAAAAAAAGCACTAAACCAAATAATTAAAAATTAGCAACAATGGATAAAAAAATGAAGTTAAAATAAAAAGATTGATTATAACGGGATAAAATTCTCAAAAAATTATTGGAACAAAAAAAAAAAACACTAAACCAAATAATTAAAAATTAGCAACAATGGAACTACAAATATAATAACCCCAAACCAAAAAGGTGGCTTTTTTATATATGACAATAATATTAGAAAACACTAACATGCAATGACACACATCATCAACATCAGCGTTGTTCCAAATATTTGGGGTAAAACTCATGGAACTTTTTTTTTCCATTCATTCTTGTCAAGTATTATTTGAGGTGTTAAACATATTCTTTGTAAGCTGCTTTGAATAATTTATTTTCATATTACCTTGGACTAAAACTTCTCCATAATACTTCAGCATAGATTTTATCTACTCGGCAAATGAATGAATTCATAACCCTTCAATATACATCTCTAAATCACCCATATCTAGCTTCAACTTCCTTGTATTCAATAAATGTCACCTAACAATTTATTTAATATAAGCATTCCTTTCACATCTTTCGTCATAATTTCAAACGTCCATTTTAAGTATTAACACTCTCATTCCCATCATACTCAATTTAGCTATTGATGAGCCTAACACTACCTAACATTTGGATCAATATAACATCATTAACCTTACCCAAATACTGTGGAGGTTGGTGTTATGAATCCTCATTTACCATTCATTCTCATTGAGCATTGTCTAGGGTGTTAAATTTATTTTTGCAAATCAATTTGGCTTCATACAATAAAGCCAATCTAATCGCAAAACACTTTTACTACCAATGACCTTTTTTATTGCAAAAACACTTGAATCTATACAACAAAGCTAATCTAATTATAAGTTACTAAATTTATCTATAAATCTCTATAATATCATCTTATCACATCCTACTCTTCATGCATTTCCCCAATTCACAACCCAACCTTAACTCTAGAAGCTATCCTCTTCTATACCTCATTCTATCTATACAATAGATATGAGGTACTTAAACCTATCATATCTAAGCATCACTTCATCAATCATCATTCCAACTAAAACTGTATATCATAAATTGAGCCTTTATTTCACTAATTTTACGTTCTCTATCTTCAAAATATTCTTTTGAATAGTCTAATATAAACTTTTTATTTCAAAAGATGTCTTATTGATTATAATTATATCATTTAAAAATATATATATTACAACATCTAATTTTAAATAAATTTTGTAAACATCTTTGATGCCAAAACAAAAGAATATAAACTCAAAACTAATCCATATTGTAATCTACTTATAAATGAAAACTTTTGAACATGTACAACTACTTCCAAACCTAGTCAGTGCTTCATCTTGCATATCCTTAGTAATTTCAACATATCTTTAACATGACTTTCTTCCTTAGCAAACACCAAACTAATTTTCACGATACTTGATTACGTCTTATCAATATTCAATAAAAAACAACATAAAATTTATTTCCTTGCCCTTTATGTTTTTCTTCTATTTTTCTTAATCAATACTTGAATCTTGGAATATAAGTACTCTCAATGATAAATTAATGGAATTAATTGATATTATGATTCATAGAAAGATTAATATCTTATGCATTCAAGAAACTAAATGGGTGGGAGAAAAAGCTAAGAAGATTGATAAGTTAGGCTTTAAACTTTGGTATTCTAATAGAATTGTACTAGAAATGTTGTAGGTGTAAATATAGATAAGAATCGTACTAGAAATGTTGTAGGTGTAAATATAGATAAGAGTTTAAAAGATAATGCTGTAAAAATTAGTAGAGTTTGTGATAGAATTATTGTCCTTAAGATTATCATTGATTCTAAGATGATTCTAAGATTTTTAATTTTATAAGTGCTTATGCTCCTCAGGTAGGTCTAGATATAGGGACTAAAGTTAAATTCTGGAATGACTTAGATAACTTAATACAAATAATACCTCTTGAAAAAAGAATTTTTATTAGAGGAGATTTAAATAGACACGTAGGTAGGGTGGTAGAAGATTTCAGAAATATTCATGGTGGCTACGGATTTAGAGTGACGAATGAAGAAGATAAAGTCATTTTAGATTTTACTTTAGCGTATGATTATGTTATTACTAATACTTTATTAAAAAAAAAAAAATGAGCATCTTCTTACTTATAAGAATGGATCTAATAAAACACAAATTGATTATTTTCTTATGAGAAGAAGAGATCGTCGAGATTGTAAAGATTGTAAGATCATTCCAAGTGAGGAATTAAGTACCCAACATTGATTATTAGTTCTAGATTTTAAGATGAAGATTTGTAAAATAAAGAATGTTAAGACTCATCAACGTAGAATTAAATGGAGGAACCTACAAGACACAAATAAAATTATTTTTATGAGTAAAATTCAAGATTTCAAAATTTGAGATGTTTATAAAGAAGCATAAAGAAGCAAATGTTATGCGAGATGAAGTAACAAACACTATTAAACAAGTAGCAAAAGATGTACTTGGAGAATCAAAAGAAAAAAAATTATATAAATAAAAATATAATAACGTGCAAGAAAATATAATATATAAGAAGTAATAACGCTAAAAATTCTGCTTTTAGAATAATAACGTGCAAGAAAATATAAAATATAAGAAGTTAAGTTATAAAAATTGGTTTAATTGTAAAATTTAGAGAATTAGTAAAAATATCAAACGGTTCGTAGGGAGTCTAAAAGAACAATATGTGATGCTAAAAATTCTGCTTTTAGTGATCTTTATGATAAATTAGATACTAAGAAGAGTAAAAAATATATGCATAAACTAGCCAAATAAAGAGAAAATAAAAGTAAAGATTTAACTCAAGTAAAATATATTAGAGATGAAAATCAAAAAAGAGATTTTCATGGAAAAAGATATTCAACATAGTTGGGTGAGTTATTTTGATAAATTTTTAATGAAATTTCTGAAAATACGCTCGACCTTAGTGATCTTAATATCGTTAATAATAATAAAATGTTTCATTGTTACCGTCGCATTTGTAAAAAAGAAGTTTATGAGACTTTAAAGAAAATTAAGGGTGGAAAATCGGTAGGACCTCATGATATCCCAATTAAAGTGTGGAAATCTTTAGGATATTTGAGAGTTTCTTGGCTTATTAAATTATTTAATATTATTTTAATAGCTAATAAGATGCCTAAGGAGTGGAGGAAGAGTATTTTGGTCCCTATTTTTAAAAATAAAGGGGATGCACAAGAGTGTGCAAATTATAGAGAAATTAAGTTGATGTGTCATACTTTAAAATTATGGGAGAGGGTAATTGAACATAGGTTAAGACGTATTATAAAAATTTCTCATAATCAATTTGGATTTATGTCGAGCAGGTCTACTATTGAAGCTATACATTTATTGAGAGTTTCAATGGAGAAGTTCAGAGAGAATAAGGAGGATCTACATATGATTTTTATTGATTAAGAAAAAGCTTACGATAAGGTTTCAAGAGATATCCTTTGGAGAGTTCTAGAGAAGGAAGGTTTTGATATGACTTATGTTCAGGTCATTAAAGATGTGTATACTAGAGCGGTTACTTGTGTTCGAACAGGAGGATTGACTAAATATTTTGCTATTTCAGTTGGATTACCCCAGTGATCGACTTTAAGCCTTTATGCTTTTGCTTTAATTGCGGATCCTCTTACTGGACATTTACAGGAGGATGTACCTTGGTGTATGCTTTTCGTTGATGATATCCTTCACGTGGATAAGACTAGAGAAAAAGCTAAGGAAACTTAAATTATGGAGGTCTACATTGGAGTCTAATGACCTTCATTTGAGTTGAACTAAAATACTAAAACAGCATACATGGAATGTAATTTTAGTAGTTGTAGCTCTATTGACAGAAGTGTAACTTCCGGTGATCAAATTATTAAAAGGGGTGAACGATTTAGATATCTCGGGTATGTTGTTCAAAGCGATGGTGATATAGATGAGAATGTTAATAGTAGAATTCAAGTTGGTTAGTTGAAATGAAGAAATATTTCTTGCCTTTTGTGTGATAGAAAAGTACCGCTTAGACTGAAAGGAAAATTTTATAAGAGGGTGGTGAGACCCACAATGCTCTATGGCGCTAAATGTTGGCCTTTAAAAGAGAAGCATAATTCTAAGTTAAGTGTTGCCGAGATGAGAATGATTTGGTGGATGAGTGGCTTTACACTTAGAGACAAAATGCAAAAATTAATAAATCTGTGATAGGGTTGGTGCAGCTCTAGTGACAGACAAAATTAGAGAGGGTAGTCTTAGATGGTTTGGTCACATTAAACGTCGACCATCTGATGATCCGATTAGAAGAGTGGATGGTTTAGATTCGACTTATGTTAAGAAAGACATAGGTAGACCTCTGAAGACTTGGGCTTATTTTATAA